GGAGACAGCTTTTAGTTTTTATCTGTAGCTTGTCTTTGTCCAAATAAATTGAAAAAATGCCATCAAGAACGGTTACTGCTTGCTGGCAGCATGCCACCCTGAGTGAGGACCTGCGTTAGGAGACAAACATTCCTTCTGTTGCCAGGGCTCACAGGACGACGGAGGAGCGCAAGCACGAGGGGGTACCGAGCCCCTTCTCTGAGCCAGGTTCTGTGTTAGGCCCCGGCACAAGGGAATAAGACACAGCACACTGAGACACAGACCCCCTGGGGGGGTGTGCCTGGAGAAACAGGGGTTCAGAGGGGAGGCCCTGAAACCTACCTTTTCTTGAGTATTTTAAAAAGCTTTCTTCCTCATTTCCCAAAACATTCATCAGCATTCTAATTGTGACAAACACCAGAGCTTTTAATAAGTCTACTCCATGTTAACAATAGAGATGAAAATGGTTAGAAGTAATCTCAGATACACACATAATACATATGCTTATGTATCACAAATACACACATAAAAATACACACATCAAACTTACTTTTAAACTGCATGGGTGGGGCCTCCCGTTGGCACAAGGGGTAAAGACACAGCACTATGAAGCTGTCCGCAGATACTGCAGTTCGATCCCCGGCCAGGGAGCTACACACAGGCACAGGAGACCTCTCCTGTCTCGCCCGCTGCTCCCCTCAGCACTGTATTACAGTAAATCTGCCTCTTCTGCTCCCCACTCTGTCTCTGGTGAATCCTCTCACCACTCCCCCCATGCCTCTGGCCTGTAACCCAGTTCTTGTATGCATAAATATTTAAAAGAAATAAATGGCATGGGTAGTTTTCCTCTATGAATTGAGACTGATCCTGTTGATGGAGTGGAAAACCCCCCCAGAGGAAGTGGGTTTCAGAGCCCCCACATGCTGATGGTCCACACTGCTCAAGTGTCTGCGTGAATCATCCCTGACCTGCTCTGCGCCAACCCCACTGGGCAGGTTTTGTGTCACGAGCAAGGCATTAAGTGACTGGCCCACAGGCCACAGCAGTAAGTGGCAGAGCCGGACTCTGGCCCCAGGAGCTCTGACTCCGATGTTCCTGCCCCTTCTGACACCAGATTGCCCGGACAGCACCGTGCCCCGATGGAGGGAGACAGCACAGGCCGAGCGAGCGCAGAGAAGGACCGGCCACCGGAAGATGTCTTGGGAGGGCAGACCTGAGCGCCGTGGCAGAATGATCCAGGACTGGCCTGCACAGCTCTTTATTCTGGTGAGTCCGCTGGGTCATGTGCAGGCCGGAGCCTTCCAAAGGGTCAAGGTCATCCACCCGGCAGGCTGGGGGATGTGGGAGGGTGTCAGTGGGGTGGTAAAGTGAACGCAAGTTGCTGTCTTTGTGCATTAGGGTAGAAACCCATCAATACGAACTTAGAAGATAAAAAGCAACAACATAAAAAGCAGGAGTGTTTAAAGATTCCGGTGTTTGGTTAGACCCAAAGGCAGGAGATGGGCTTTGATCACAGGAGGGATGAGGAGGGAGGGCTGGAGGCTCTGCCACCTCTCCTCTCCCTCCTCCTGCTGGGCTTCTGTCCTGCGTCTGCCTGTCCTTACCCCGCCCCTCTCACTGCCTCTCAGAAGCAGGCCAGGAGATGCTGCCAGACACTCTCAGACCTAAGATCTCTGACCTGCCTTTTTTTTTTTTTAAAGATTTATTTATTTTTATGCAAGAACTGGGGTACAGGCCAGAGGTGCGGGAGGGTGGGAGGATTCACCAGAGACAGAGCAGGGAGCAGAACAGGCAGAAGGACCGAAAGCACTGTGAAGGGGAGCAGCGGGCGAGACAGGAGAGGTCTCTGCGCCATGTGGGTTTCTCCCTGGCCAGCCGGGAATTGAACCGGCGCTGCGGAAGCTGCGGACAGCTTCACAATGCTGTGTTCAACCCACTGCGCCACCGGGGAGGCCCTCTGACCTGCCATTCTTAATCCCCCGGAGAATCCGATTTAATCCCCTCGGGCCACACAGCTATGGCCAGGGAACAAGGTGTCCACTCTGACAGCAGGTAGAATTTGGGCTGGATGGACCCCCAGAGGTCATGCCAGAGCATTCTGGAGAGGCGTCCAGCTCGGGCTGGTGTCAGAACCCCTGTTCCAGCGAGAGGGTGCAGGGAGGTCTTCGTTTGCACTTTCTCACTCTGCCCTTTAAAGCAATACATTGGCTTCCACATTTATAATTCTTCTGTGGAGTTATTAAGTCCATAAATAAAGATTTAATCTTTTAAGCTCTGCACTGTGAGAGCAGAAGTGAAAGAGCAGGCAGAGCTTACCAGCCGGGGCAGCCTGGGTGGCGAAGGAGGAAGCTTCCAGTCTGTGCACAGAGGACCCAGCAGAGGCTGCAGCTGCAGAGAGGCTCTCAGGCCGAAGAGTCAGCACCTGCCCTCTGGCTGGAGGAACAGAAAAGCACCCCCCCCACCCCAACACACACACACACACACACACACACACACACACTGTGGCTCAAAGACCACGCAAGGCAGCCACAGACAGGTGCATCGCCAGCGCACAGCGGTCTTCAGTTCTCCAAAATGACCTCAGCCAGGTGGAGAAAGGGGCAGGAGAGAAAGAGGGTGCTCCCAGGAGCCCGGGGAAGGGGTGCCTTTGCAAGGAGAGGGATTGGGAAGGGACCAGAGAACTGGAGACTGGAGGAGGAGAAGGGGAAGAGCCCCGGTTCCTGTGCAGCTCAGCGTCCTCCAGAGGAAGCGCTGACAGCTGAATCAACAACTCCGCGGCCTGGTCTCTGCTCTGCCTCCCCAGCGCCCAGGCCTGGAGAACTCTGGCTCAGCTCCTTGATGAAAACGGCAGGAAGCAAGCGAGCTTTGGTTTCCCTGTAGGCAGATCCTAAGCCGGTTTCAGGGAGGAGGGGAGGGGTTCTGAGGACGCAGAAGGACACTCTGGGGCCCAGAGCAGGGACCAGCCTGGGGGCGAGAGGCAGCTCCAGCACCCCAGCCCCGGCAGGCGGCGTCTGCTCCTCAGGCCCCAGCCCCGGCTGCCGCTGTCCGAGGGTCCTGTGTGGGGCTTTTAGCCTCTCTCGCTCCCATTCGGGCCCTCACTTGGCATCGCTCGAGCCCAGCCAGAGGTCATCACCTCCTCCTGCCAAGCGCTGGTTATGGGCGGCCGCGAAGAGGCGGCGAGGCTGTTTTCTGATGATAGGATTCAGCTCCCGAGGCGCTCTCCTTGAGCAGCAGATAATTTAGTTTAATGAATTTGGACAGTTCACTGGATCTGCCCACACAGTTCCACTCACCTTCCAAAACGCTTCCAAAATAGCACTCGGCGTTGTACAGTGGCCAAGAAAAAAGCAAAAAGTAAGAAATGACAAGGCCCCAGAGATTCCTGCCCCTTTGGAAAAGTCTGAGTGAACTTTTCCAAAGAAAATTCAAGCCAAATTGTTTAAAAGGCTGCTTTTCCCTTTCTCGCTGCGGAGTCAGCCCAGGAAGGTGCCACAAAGCCTCCCGCGGGCAGGGGAGCAGGAGGCCCCTCAGAGCAAAGCCATCTCCACCGTCCTGGAGCTGTTCTCTCTGCAGGGCCTTCGAGAAACCATTCCTGATGTTTGCTGCCCGCTCTAGATAACTCCACAGACACAGCCCACCTTCCAGGAGCTCACAGTCCACACTGGGAAGGAGACAAGCGCCGCTCCCCGCACACACACTCACACACACTCACACACTCGCTCGCTCATGGCCGCAGCAGCCCTCCGCCTGGACCCCTCTCTCCAGGCCTCCACGGAGCCCTCCCTCCCTCCTCCACACCCTCCCCAGTGCTCCGCTGCAGCCAGATGTTGCGTGGGCAGACCCCTCCGTGGGCTGACAGGCGGTGATTACCGCTGCCAGCCCCACATTAGGGGAGAATTGAATGGGAGAGAGCCCCCACCGCCTGGCTCCCTACAATAGCGCCTTTGTGAGGTGCTGCACTGCCTTTCTCTTCCCCGTCCTCACCAACCTACGTCAGGAGCTGTTCTGCCTGAGGAGACAAGACAAAAGGAGGCTCACAGGGTGCTGACGGATCCACCCTATCCCGGGTGGGGAGGAGAGGTGCACTTTGGGGGAAAGACTCTTTCTCCCCATTCTTGTAAATAACCACAAGGCCCTCCCCAGGCACCTGAGGACAACCTCCCTGGGAAAGCAGCAGGTCTTGTCCTTCAGCCCACGTTGCTCCTGCGTGCTGGGCAGGGGTGAGGCTGGGGTGGGGTCTGGCACAGGGTGTAGCAGATTCCTAAGAACCTGGGGGCTCTTCTTCCTGACCCTCCTCCTATCCCCCCGAGGGCCTCCGTAATTCCAAGCCCGAGGCCAGGGAAGAAGGCCAGAAAGGGTTAAGTGCTGAGGCCTCCCGGACAGACTTTGCCAGCTTCCAGGGCTGCAGTGGGGTCGGTGGGGTGGTGAGGGTGCAGAGGGGCATGTGTTGGGGCACTGGTGAGGCTAACATCTGGGACGTGGTCAAGCCCCCCCTCCCTGCCCAAACCGCAGACGCTGTGGCAGCAGGAAAACCAGAGCAGTTCGGACCAAGAACAATTGTGCAACCTGGCCCGGGGACAAGCTCCATGCTGGGGACAGGAGGGGGCTGGGGCAGAGTCCACTTCGGAGGTGAGAACAAAGTTCTGACTGAAAACACACGCGCTCGGGACTTCGGTTGCCATACAAGGCTTCAATGTGACTGAAATCCGTTCTCTGGTTCAAAACCTCGGCGAACTGGAATTGGAAGCCTGCTGGGGCCCCTGCCAGAGGCCTGGTGTCATGAGTGGTTCTGGGAGGGTCTGGGAGGATGGTGGGTGTGGGGGGCCTTGAGCCCAGCCTCCTCAAGTGGCGGCTGGAGCTTCCCCAGGCGCCTCACAGTGAAACCTGTAACCAGAGAAGGCCCCTCGCCAGCCAAACCCCTGATGCGGCTTAAGGAGGGGATGGGTGTGTAGGAGGAAAATGGAGGGTCATTGGGGAAATCTAATCTGAGGGTTTCCCCAAACAAACACAGGAGAGGAGCGTGGCTTTTCCTTTTAATGCAAAAAGTTGCAATACAAAATGACGTGGAGAAAGTCCGGCTCTTCAGGGCACCGAAGACAGGAGAGAGAGGGCGGCCTTGAAGCCTCCTTCTGCCAGGCCTCTGTCCCGGCTCTCAGTCGGGCGGGAGAGAATCTGTTGCCCTTTGCCGGCCTGAGGTCTGGATCTGGCTTCTCTTTGGTCTAAAATTCCTTGACGTGGCGCAGGAGGAAAGGAGTGAACATTGGGGTTTTCTCTGTTTTCGCTCTCAAGGGATTGATTACTCAAGAGCTGGAGTCCTGGATAAAATGAAGGGGCTGTGAGGGTTTGGCATCCACTGGCTAAAAATATGGGGTCTGAACCACAGCTTGTCCACATGAGGAGAATAGGAGCAAGCAATTTAGTGGGGGTGTAAATGTGAGGAGGCTGAGAGAAATTCCCAGAGACGAGGCTGGCTCCTCAGACTTCTTCCTCTTTCCTCCTCATCTCCAGCTTGTAGACGATCTGGTAGCCATCATCCCAGGCGTAGAGCTGGCGCTCCCGGGGGTTATAGCGGAGGCTGGCATGGGCACCGTATCGGCGGGGAAAATAGGGGAGCGCTGCTCTTTCGGGGTCAGAGTGCCACTGGCGTCAAAGGAGCACTGGACGCGGGCCCGGCTGGCGGGGCGGGTGTTGTAGACGACGTAGAGGGTCCCGCAGATCACAAAGGCCGCCTCGGCGTTGTCTCTGGGACACGGGGTGTCCCACTGCTGCTCTGTGTCCAGTGTCTGCGGGTCCAGCTTGGCCAGACACAAGTGCCTGTCGTCCTCCCGGGTGGCGTAGACGGCCCAGAGGCCCTCCTCGTCGGCGGCCAGGTCGATGTAGGTGTCCGCCGTCAGCCCGTACGGGGGGATCAAGCCCTCCGCGGGGAACACGGAACTGTCCACCACTGTCCGGTTGGCCAGATGGAATTTGATGAGCTGCAACGTGTTCTCTGACTCACCGCCCCCTCCAGGCCCTCCGGGAGGCCTCCGGGCATAGTAAAGAAAGCCGCCGTACACCAGCTGCCCCGTGCCCACCCAGGGGAAGGGCAGCCGGACCCGGGAGGCTTTCCGGGCAGCCATGGCCAGGGTGAAGTCACGCAGCCGCGGGAAGATGAAGGCCGTGTCGTTCTGCGTCCCGTCTAACACGTAGATCTTCTCTGTCGGCCCCAGCGGATCCTTGGTCCACAGGCCAGCTGGGCCCCCAAACCGCTTCAGGATCTTCATGGATCTCACCTGGGAGACTGTGTAGCCACAGTCTGGTGGGGAGGGGGAAGCAGAGGACAAGGAGGTAGAGGCAGCGGTCGAGGCCCACTGGCAGGAACCCCCTCCCACTGGGCAAGTGGGGGCATCTACCCAGCAGACCCTCCACTCTTCTGGAGGATCGGGGAAAGCGGCACGCAGAGGCCTGGCTCCCCAGAAACCCTGCTCGATGAGCCTCTGACTATAAGGATGTCCCCAAAACAGAGTCCAAAAGATAGAACCAAAGTGGGGGGAAAGAGGAAGAGCATGGGAGAAGAGAGGTGAGCGAGGGGCCCGCCTGCAGGTCACTTACCAGTCACCATGTCATACTTCTCGTTTCTTCTGCCCTTGCCTTTGGCCCCAGGGCCTCCAGCCACCTTCTCATCAACCTCTACACAGGGCAGAGCTGGGCTCTGCGTCTCCAGATAGTCAACCTCGCGTTCCAGACGGTCCACTCTCCCCGAGATGGAGTCTGCTTCGGTTCTCAGTGCTTCGCGCTCCTTCTCGGCCACCTCCAGCAGAGGCAGCATCTTGTTCTTGAAGTCCCGAAGCTCTGCAGCCTGCCGGGTACTCTGGTCGTGGCACTGGGCCAGACGTTCCTGACCAGATCGGGGAACAGGAGGGAAGGCTGAGGGTTACGACTCCCAGACAGGGAGAGGCCCGAGCAGGGGCGGGCGTGGCGAAAGTACAGCCTCAGCCAGGCTTGAGCGGCCCCTGCAACCCTCCCAGGCAAGAGCCAGATGTTCAAAGACGTTCACTGTGCAGAGGGCTCAGTCCCCTCGGCCCGGCCCCTGGCGTCCTCGGCCTGGGCACTCTGCAGCAGCGCCACTGAGACACGTGCCTCCAGGGCGGGCTCTGTGCATGAAGGTGGGAAGGGGTCTCCGCTCCATTATGCAACTCCTCTCCTGGCAAGTAAGAGGCTACAGACCTCAAACTGTGCTTAAAAAGCCAGAAAGTTGCAGGTCTCCTGGGAACGCCCAACATCAACAGCATCATCAGCTCATCCTGATGATGCAGGCTCCAAGCCTGGCTCTCGCTTCCACCCTGCCCCTTTATCCCATTCTCATCTCGGGGCTTAAAACACAAGGGTCTGCGTGCTTTGGAATTGTTCTACGTGTGTGAGCGAAGAGAAGGGCTTGCAGTTTTGAAAATTCTCTTAGGGCAAGCGTGTTCTGCCTGGGTTCTTCCAGAGCTCTACCTTGTCACCCCCAGATTCCTGACACGCGAGGTGATTCACGGGAAGGGAGGGCATCCCATGCGGGCTGAGCTGGAGGAGCCAGGAGCCACTCACCTCCAAGGCGGCCAGTCGGTGATCCATGTACTCCACAAGGTGGTGCTGCTGTCCGAGAAGGGGTCGGGGCCACGACAGAAGCAACAGGATGAGGAGAGAGGTGCTGCGGGGCCCCATGGCAGCCGGCGGGCGGCACCGGCGTGGATGAGAGCCCTGGGCCTCTTCCACTGGAGCCTGCGGGTTACTCTGGGGGCGGGGTGGGGGCGGTGCGTCCTCTTTCTGGATCTCTGGTCTCTCTCACTACTCTGGAATGCTTTCAGTCTCTTTACAGCCCCCCCTCCCCCTTTCCGCCTGGATTGATCAAACACAGATGGCCCCACTGCAGAGCAGCCAGAAGCCTTAACCACCTCCCGCCTAGGCTGCAGGCTCCCCAGGACAGGGAAGGGGATGGAAACCCAAGGGCAGGCGTTCTAGACGGTCACCCGGGAAAAGGAGTGTCCAGCGCTGATGTCTTAAGAAACTGCCTTCATGAATCCTGCCCTTTCTCAGCAACAACAGCACGGGTTGCTCTCGGCCTTGTTCAGTGGAAGCAGAAAGCAGGGGAGGTGAGGTTTGAAGGGAAGAGGTGGCAAAAGGAGGCCCAGTGGTCAATTTTCATTACTTCTGTAGCTCACTTGCGCCATCTGGTGCTGAGCACTTAGTGTCACGTCCCCTCCGGAGGAAAATTTTCCACCAAGTCAGCCAAACAGATTGGATTTATGGGGATTTTCATCATTAAAACACAGATTTCCCCACAGACGACCCCATTACTTAAAGGACTATCCCGATCTCGCTCTGATTTAGCCTAAGGAAGAGATTATAACTATGATAAAAAAGGAAAAACATCATTGAAAATGTAGTAAATTGGGCCTCCCCGGTGGCGCAGCGGTTGAGCGCTGGGTTGCGAAGCTGCCCGCAGCCTCTGCAGCGCCGGTTCGATCCCCGGCTGCTCCCCGGCCACCGGAGGAGGGTCCCACATGGCGCGCAGACCTCTCCTGCCGCCCGCTGCTCCCCTCAGCAGTGTACTTCGTCAGTCTGCCTGCTCTGCTCCCCGCTCTGACTCTGGTGAATTCTCTCACCCTCCTGCGCTTCTGACTGTACCCAGTGCTTGTATAAATAAATAAATCTTAAAAAAAAAAAATGTAGTAAATTAATTCTTAATTACCTGAAGTGAGACTGACAGCAAAATCTTCCTACATGGCTTTCCTTTGCCTGAAAACTTCTTTGAGGTAAGTGGTTTTAGGTAGCATGTTCCCCACCCATGCAATGGCGGGCAGAGCTGGCAGGCCAGGCAAAGCTATAAACATGGGAGGCAGGTGGGCGCGGGGGAGGGACATGTGGAGAAGGGTGCTTGCTTCTCAGCTTTGGACTTGCACCTGGGACTGGAGGGACTTGGGGGACACATGGCGGGAGAGGCATGGGAGGCTGACAGAGGCGGCCTTTATCTTGATTTGTTCTTTGACTTTGCTTCTTTCATCCCAGACCTGCCTGGGCCCTTTTGTCCCTTTCCTACGGCTCCCAGCCAGGTACCTTAGACTCATGGTGAGCTTTTGGGACTCCGCAGCCTGGTTTTCGGGCCAACGCTGTTTAGCTGGGCATTCACCCAGGAGGGAATGAGTAACTTTGGGTTTTTGTTGGGAAACTGTTATCCTTTCTAATCTTCTCTTTGTTGACTGACTGTTAAAGCTCTTTTACACAGTGCAATCAAGCTATTGCCAGCCACTGTGGCCTGAGTTCGATCTCTGGCCAGGGAGCTGACCCACATGGCGCAGTGGGCCTCTCCTGTCGCGCCCGCTGCTCCCTCAGCAGTGTATTTCAGTCAGTCTGCCTGTTCTGCTCCCCACTCTGTCTCTGGTGAATCCTCTCACACACACCCCCCCCCACACACACACCTCTGGCCTACACCCCTGTTCTAATATGCATAAATAAATCTTAAAAAAAAAAAAAGAATATGCCTTGTCTTTGTGCATATGGATGGCCAGATCCCTTTAGGGTGTACAAGTTTGGGGGCCTCAGGGTACCCCTTGGTCACACACTAACACTTCCAGGTATAGTCTCTTACCAAAAATTGGGGAGTGTTCCACAAGTTCACACTAACTTTATATCCACTTATTTATGAAAAAAATCCGGAAAATATGTAGCAGCCTAAATCAAAATAAATGTATTCTGACTCCCCTACTAACGGGAGGCAATAAACAACTGATCACTCCCTTGGTTCAGGAGTCCAAGATGAATTAATAACGGTCACTATAGAGTAGGTAGACTCGGCCTGAAACATATATCCCAAAAAACACAAAAAAAAAAATATATATATATATAGATAGATAGCATTTATTCCGAGATCTGTGGTGATTAATCTAGCTAGATCTCTAACTCTATCAGGAAAAATTTTATTCACTGTAGAATCAAGAAAAATCTGATCAGAAGTGCTCCTCTAAAAAGTACAGCTTCTAACAGTGCAATTTAAAACAAAGCACTTGCTTGTGATTATTTTCATTCTGCTACTTTAGAGATTTGGTGGAAATACTAACAAACAAAGTTCAATTAGTCTTTGTTAAAAGTTCCTGGCCTTTCAAACAGCCAGACGCAAACCATCTTAAGTTAGGGCCTTGGGTACTCTCTTCTTGGAAGTGTTTCCTGCCAATCCCTATTCATCTGCGTTCTGGGGTTTATATGAAGAATGACTTTGTATCTGATCTTCTACTGATGGTCAGATGCAATGGATTCAACCACTCCAAATAAGCCATCAGGGGTCACCATCGTACCTTTATAACAGAAGTCAAAAAAAGTCACATGAATCAGAAAATTTACCCATTTTATTGATGCATTGCAATTGCTCTACATTTTACCATATTATGTAGAAAATACTGAAAATACAAGCTACTTTGTAAAACCAAAGACAAACATTGAATCCAAAGATAAACTATGTTTTACACAATGGACCCTTTCCCGTAAGTTAGTATTAAATTTTTAAATATCTATTTCTTTGTTAAAATGATTATTTTACATACTCCCTAGGTACATCTGCATTACAAACATAGCTCAATAATTCTCAGGAACTGTTTCTAGAGGCTTGTTGTAAAAGGAAGCGCACAACCAGAAAAGGGAGAAAGCAAAAAACAAGTTTAAATCGCACACAGTAACTAGCATATCAAATTACATTTAATAAAGTTGGAATTTCATTGCAATATCAAGGATTCAAAGCAGAAATACTAACATTACATATAATGTACATATAATGTACTGCTACATGTAGTGAGATTATTTTTTCAAGCTGAATCAAAACCACACATTATATAAAGTTTAGCAACGAACAACCATGTAGACATGCTGCACCATCCATCAGTTTAAAAAAAAAAAAAAAAAAGTTAAAATAGGAAGCAGGCTTGGGCCATTCCTGTCACTGAGAGGCAATTTCATTTCCTATCCTAAAACAAACCATCCAGTGGGTTTTTGCATTAATAATGCTGAATAAAAGCACACGTTACTGTGCTTGCCTGGCTAAGGGCGGTCACGCTTAGCGCCTCTAGTGGAGGATGATGGATGGCCAGAATTGCTGGGAATGGAGTTCTTAGTCCTGGGGTTGGTACTTCAGCTGAGTACTGACAGCAGTATCACCTCCTGGGAACTATTAAACCCTCCACAGGGCTCTGGTGTCCTGATGAGCCCAGAGTGGTCGTATGGAACCCTTCCCCACGTTCCCTCTCGCCCTGAAGGGGAAGCTGGAAATGCAAGTTCTGAGAAGACTTAAAGCCTGAAGCTGGTCTGAGGTCAGGTCACTGTGACCTGGGCCAGCTGCTCACTAAACGTAAAGGGCTTCCCCACCTGGCCACAGCCAGCAATGTTAAGCCCCAGGGATAGACTCTAAAGCCACAAGGAGCACACACAACATTTGACAGACAGTAGTTTTTGATCTTGGTAGATCTGAAATGCCAACTGATAGACTAACAGAAGTCAAAAACAGTCACATGAATCAGAAAATTTACCCATTTTATTGACGCACTGCATCAATGAACTCAAATCAATAGACTGGAAAATTTCCAAAATGCTTAAAGTCACACACAATGCTAGAAAAGTGACTAGGGAAACAATACAAGCTGTTGATACTGTCTATTTGCTGTGAAGTTAAGACTCCTATCTTAAATGGGGTCTACTTCATGGATTGGGGGGCAAGTGGAGTGTTTTGGTTTTTTTCCTGCATCTCATTTCTTACAAAAACAAAAAATCTTATCCTTGCAGAAGAAAGAACAGGAACAAAAAAATATTTCATTATAAACTAGATCTGCCTTTGAGCAAGAAAATCAGAATGTGCTTGGCAAAAAGGAGACACAAAGATCATCTACGCGACCAGAAAACTAACACCAGTGACAAAAACTATACAAACTGCTTGGGTATCTTGCAAACACAAGTCAATATAATGATAAAAATATATATATAGAATACCAACATGTTCCTGGTAGGCTGTATTGACTCTCTGCCCCATCTTGGAAGCCCTCACTTCTTACAATGAGGAAACTGCAATGACTTGACAGCTCCTCGGTGTTCAACCTGGCAGTCTGCTGACCAGTCTCCATGAAATCTCCCATCTCCATCCCGCACTCCTGACACCATCTCCACAAAGAACCAGTCCTAGACTTATCCCTCACATGCGTAATTTTCAATTCAGATGGAACACATCTGTATCTTAGGGTTCACCTTCTTGCCCAGAATCTTCGGCGAGCAGGAACATCCCTATCCTAAGTACCCTCTACTTGACCTAGATCTGGCAGAAGTCGAGAGTACAAGGACAATTTCACAGTTTGAAGGGCCCCAAGAATATATAAATTGTTAAAAAGAAAAAAAAAAAAAAAAAAAAGAAACCTCAAAAGCCCAATAACTCAACAGGCTTTGGTTCCTTCTTCATAGTCCGGCTGAGAACCTTTCTGCGAGTTCCCTGTCACGGCGGCATCACGCAGCTCCTCATGGTATGGGGACAGGGTAAGCAATACAACAGGCTCTTTGGTATGAAAACATCCGTTACATGTTTTTTCAACAAGCAAATATTTTACTAGGAATGTCAACTATTTGCAGGAAGGACTGCCATGTGGGAAAAGTGAAGAAAAAAAACTCATTCTAAAAGTGATTGCACATACTTTTAAGAACGAAAGAAAAAAAAAAAAAGGAATATACACTATTGGCTTGACTCCTCCCACCTGCTTCCCGAGTTCTCACAGAGGCAAGGTGGCAGTGCACAGTGAGAGAGCCACGAGGGGAAAAGGCGTCTGTGAGAACTCAGCTGAGATTCCAAAATGGAAAGGGTAGAGGTGCGATAAAGGAGAAAAGCTGCTGTTTTTATGTTTCAATGTCGGCAGGGAAACTGAGAACAATGCATTTACACAACACCGCTAGCTACTAATCCTGTTTTGATAAATCCCAGTGAACAGCTTAGGTCCACGGGGCTTGCTGGTCCATCCTAAGGCAA